CATAATCATTAGACTTTAATTCACATGAAAATAGATAAAGCGAAAGGGTTTCTAGATTGCCTCGTCTGGTAAAAAATTCAGTCGGTCTTAGAGACGATTCTCTAGTCAACTTGTATTGTTTCAATTACTCACAACAAGAGAATCGACTAGCATTTACTTATGTTTTCACACAAGTATTTTTCATATCCTAATCAAATCAGAGATGAGCACAGGGCGGGCCGGTGCGGCCGTCCTGTATCCTGTCCTGTCCTGCAGGACAGGATGCTATATAAATTTTTGTCCTGTCCTACCGAGCGGTAGGATAGGTTTACATCGTGCGGTGACCAGGGCAGGATGAAACTAAAATTTCTGCCCTGTCCTGGTATGCGGCAGGTCGAGGTTGACACAGGACAGGACAGGGCCGGATGGAAGGTGTTGTCCTGTAGTTATTTATGATATTTATCATCGTTAATAACATTATGTATTCGTTCTTACTGATAGATGTCATTATTCTTTACATGTAGAAGTGTGATTATTCTCGAATTGATCGATAAGATAATCAAATCGGGAGGAAAAAAGAATATATGCATAACAAATGTAAACAATGCATATCAATTGTTCTTTGTTCTCTTATAATATCGACATCTTGTCTTTATTTTTGCTTTATCTTGAATTTTTTTGTACTTTATTGGTAAAATAATACATGGACTTCATTGAAGTATTTTCTCCCGCAGAAGATTCTTTCAGTTCAGAAAAACTCAAAGTTGTTCTGCAGACAAACACGAACAACTATACAGTTATCAAAAATCCACCAGCACTAGCAGCACGACCATTATCCTGGTGGAGTACTTTCGATGTGGGTGTGACTTAGGAAGCACAACAAAACACCCACATCAATCCACACCCAAGTTGGTCATATAATCTTAAAGTGATGTGATACATGCCTTACTTAACAAAAAATTAAACATGCATTGTTTTTAATACAGTGTCCTGTCCTGTCCTGCGCTGTCCTGACCTGCTGAGCGGTAGGATAGGATTATAGTGTGCGGTGAACAGGGCAGGACGGAAAATCTTGTCCTGTGCCCATCTCTGATTCAAATGTACCTGCCGCCACCTCTGTTTAGCATACGGACATCGCTTAACATGTTGGTACAGATACTTCGACAGTCATAGAAGCAAAAAATGAATAACTTTTCTTCACTTTGCATTTTCGAAATCAAACTATCTTTATATTTGACAAGAACATGAATAAAAAAAAACACTACCTTTCGATGCATTTTCCAATGCTTGTTGAACTGTCTGTTCACTTTGATTATCAAGTGCACTAGATGCTTCATCCAATAATAATAATATTGGCTTTCTCACTAGTGCTCGAGCAATAGCAATCCGTTGACGTTCACCACCAGACAATTGTGCACCACGTTCGCCGACTATCGTGTCATATTTCTGGAATGGACAAAACACATGAGAAATACAATTCTATTAATACTTAACCCCAAAAAGCAGTTCGAACTGAACTAGATTCATATTTATAAATGGCTAACTGATTAAATCAATTAGATAAATTAATAAAAGGAGAATAATAACGAATTCAAAAGTCTAATGTCTAATTACAGTCTTTTTAAATTCTAATTGATCATTTTAATAGAGGAAACTGTCAAGTGAAAAGTAATACAATAAAAACTCTATAACGCGAACACTATCGGAGCCATTCAGAAAGTGTGAACAGCCTATAGACTTTGTATTAACTGAACGAATGTATATGTACAGCCGTGTTTATGATTATTCAGTGATTATGCATACCATGTACAATCCATTTCAGTAAGTCCAAAATAGAAAACTCTCTTTCATCGCTTGGACATATTTCTTCAGTTTTTATGTCAAAAGTCTTTCGTTGTTTTCTAACTGAGTTCTTTCCAGTCGATTTAGAATCGAATAAGCTACGAGTCGAGCTGCGCTTGTTAGGAGCAACTCGCCTGGCCATCTTCATTGTCTCTTGAAGTTTGGTCAAGGTCTAAGCTAACATGTCGTCGTCTTTCTTGTTAGTATTGTTATATTGTCAAACTCTTCATCCACAATTAACAGATTATCGATTGATTCATTCCATTTATTGAAAGTGCAAGCAAGTCTTGGCGTCATTTCACGTTTGCAAATAGATTAGTCCATTCTTGCTTCAAAGATAGTCGACCAATTCATCACAAACTATTCGTTATTATTGTTCTTTTTGTTTTCTACATACAACAAATTGTTCCAGCCCGCCTCAGAGTGTACATTGCATTGGCTCTTTTGTTTTTTATTTCACACAGATGCATGTGTTGTTTCATCTGCGTTCAGTATATGAAGGTTCTCTTTAGTGAAGGAATCAATAAAAATGTTCATTGTTCAGAGTTGAGAAATTTTCAATATAGAGGGGTCTATTTACAGTTAAAATCGATGAGAGAGGGAACTGGGGACCAAGATACGCGTTCACATAGAAAACTTGATGATTTCAGAATGAAAAATGAGTCTTCTAAACATTTCAAACAATAACATACCTCGGGTAAAGACATGATAAAATTGTGGGCATTAGCTGCTATGACCGCTTCTTGAATATCGGCAAAAGTTGCATTTGACTGACCATATTGAATATTTTTCAAAATTGTTGTTGAAAAAAGTACCTAAATAGAAAAACAAAATTTCTGAATCAACTCAATGTTTACTTGAGCATTGATAATTACTGGCTCTTGGTTCACAACACCTATCTTGTGACGTAATTGTTGTAAATCAAAATGCTCGATAGGTTGATCATCAAACAATATTTGACCACTAGTTGGTTTATAAAATTGTTGTAACAAATGCATACATGTCGATTTTCCTAGACAATACGCAATTTATATTAAGAGAGAAGAGATATCATGCTTTATACCACAGCCACTTGTGCCTACTAAGGCTAACGTTTGACCAGGTGTTGCTTCAAAACTCAAACCATTTAGAACAGGTACATCTGATCTTGATGGATATGAAAAAAATACATTATCAAACTTCACTTTTCCAAGAAAGTTCACGTTTGATATTTCTTCATCAGATGTCCATGTATTTTCCTCATCCTAGAAATCAAATGAGAATGTTTCAAAATTGACACTTATTCTTCTTACTGAAGATAATATATCCCACACAGAAGCAGCTGCAACTTTGGCTTGATTGATCGATTCACGATACGGTGCACTTTGTCCAAGTGCAAATATACCAACAAGAACAGCAAAGAATACCTATTAATATGTAGAAAAAGAATTCGATGAACGAAATCTACAACGAGCTGTCGATACAAGTACATACAAAGATAACATTTGCAATATCATAATCTTCATTTTTAATCAAATGATTTCCATACCAAAAGGCTAATGCATGTGAACCAAACAGAATGAAATACATGGAACCAATTATTATTCCGGCGATTGCTCCTTTCTTTATGCCTTGTTTTCGAGCAGTGTCAATATGTTTTTCGTATCTTAAATTTAAAGAAAAATAGTCAACAGAATATAGAATTATAAATGCATATATAAATATATCACCTAGCTTGTTCATGTTCAGTACCATTGAAAGCAAAAACCAAGCGTACATTACTAAATACTTCTTCTGCAATAGTTCCAGCACGTTCGTATGCTCTCAATTCTTGCACGAATAATTTTCTAAAAATCTGAAAATTAAAGAGCAAAAAAATTCTAATACGATGTATGAAAAAAATATACCTTTGATGAAATAATTGATATAAGCCAAATGAGAGGTGCTAATGAGAGAATAACTAAGGTCATTTTCCATCCGCGAAAGAATGCAAGCGCTAGACTAACAAAAAACTTGGCGCTCATCTGGACCAGTAAGCCCAATTTATTACCAATACCATCATGTATTTTATCAATATTACTTAAAAACAAAATGTACAAATTGTTCTATTCGATAATTAGAAAAATACCTATTAAGAATTGTCGTTAATTCACCAGTTGTATGTGTATCAAAATAGGAAATATTCTTTTTTAATAGAACACGAAAAACTTTTTCTCGTAGTCGTCTCGTTTGATGTTCACATGTCAAAGAACATAAACTTATTTGAATAAAAGAAAGTACGAACGAAATACTACCGATGACTACAAAATAAAAAGATAAACAATAATTCGATGTAGTCTTCTAATTCTTAATCACAAACCGACTAAACATAAAGATTGATAATGAAGTTGTTGTCGAAACGTAGTCGTCGAAAAAGTGCCGTTCATTGCTTCACTTAAATTGCATTTGCTGAAAGATTACACATATATAACAATTAAATAATTTGATGTCAATAATGAATTACCTTGAGTGTTGAATATAGTTCGTTGATGTCAGTAGAACTCCCGGTTCACAATATTGCATACTGAGTACAGTATAATTGAGTTTACATAAATTGATTGGCTGACTGGAGAACGTTCCGATAATACCTGCCAAGAAGAATAGCATTAAAGGTCCAATAACTCCGTTTCCGAAGGCAGCCACGAG